TTACAAAATGAAAGTTCACTTTTAAATCAGTGCTAATCACGAATATTAGAACATAAACGGTATGGATCACAAGCATAATTATGTTACCGGCCCGAAAGTGAACATATGATTTTATTAATAATAATATGTAAACAAAACTGTGAAACAAGATGTTAAGGTGGTAGTATAGGCATTTGTTTGTTTTTTATTCAGGTACTGACTAACTTTAGCATTTGTAATGCCTATCACAGACTACTATCAAGGACTATCACAGTGTCTACTCCTTCAATCTATGGGAACAATTTACAAACGCACATGTTTGTGTCATTGTGAGGGACTATGAATGGTGTGTCCCGACGGTCCCGACACCCGAACTGACCCCAATTCCACTGCAGTCGTGCCTCGGCGGCCGGCGCCTGTCACTTTGGTCACTCGCGGCAAAAAAACTGTCACCGAACCGTCGCGATTGAAAATTCTGAGAAATCGGCAAGTGGCAAGTTGAGTGTGTCGGCCCCTAGCCTGAGGCCAGTGAGGCCTGTAGCCTCTGATCCTTCACATTCTCTTAGTCCTTGGACGTCGGCCGTCGTTGTCTAGCGCTCCGGTGTCACAAGTGATGCACGCACCTACTCACAAGCCAGAAGATTGTGCTGTTAAAACGTACCGAAGTTAAACAGAGTTCAGTTCTGCATTGTAAAAGAATATTGGAAGGTTCAAAACAGATGGTTGAGACAATGAATAATTCTAAAAAAAGTTTGAGTAATCAGCAAAAGGCCATTATCATCATTTTAAAATCTTACCAATATTATAAATGTGAAAGTTTGTTTGTTTGAAGTTCAATCACGCATTAAACACTGGACGGATTGGGCTGAAATTTGGCATGATGATAGCTCACATTCCCGATTAACATATAGGCATATTCTTATCTCAAAAATCCTTTCGTGCTCCGCCCCAGTGGCTCTGTAGTTCCCTATGTTAACCTTATGAGTATTCATATTTAAAGGGAATGAAAGAATTTAGTCAGCTGTTTCAACTAAAAAGTTGGTTCTATGCTTCTATGATATACAAAATCATTAAAAAGTTATAACAAGTTATAAGACTTACCAACAGGGCGCAGCATTATAATTTTTTTTTCATTGATGTAAAAAGCTAATTTGAACCAAGCAGCAACAAAAAACTGTGATACGCGATGAGAACTGTCAAAATAGAATTGTTTACAGTTATGTTCATGTTTTTAATTTCATGAATAATTTTTGATTTATCGCGGATGTTATAATTTATTTTTCTTTATTGTTTAAGTGAAGTGGTAGAACATTATGGTTATGGTAGATGTGTAATACCATACATAGTATATCGTAAATTTAAAGAAGCGTATTTTATCAAACTTTGTCCTCCCCCATTGCAAACGCAAAGCTTGAGTATAACTGCAATAAGCATTTTAAAAGTTGTATGCCAACCCCGTACGAAGGACCGGTACTCTGCTAATATTTAATATAGGTACAATAAGTTCGATTTATTTCTCGATCCAGGGCCGGACTTAGGACTTCAGAGGCCCCGGGCGAATTTGCCGATGGGGCCCCCAGTATGATTATACGAGAACAAATACGGTACACAATGTAACGCATATTACATGCACACTAATTTTAAATAGGCAATTTCAAGGTGAATTTAGTGAGTCGGTGGCTCAGTCGGTAGCGTCGCGGACTTCGGGCCCAAGGCAGCGATGTCGTGGGTTCGGATCCTGGTCACTGCCGATAACATTTTATCAGTACAGTTCACCTTTGTACTGTACCGGCTCACTCCTTGCTTTGCTGTAAACGATCCACGCACGGGCGCTTAGTCTATGTGGACGGGCAAATGCAAGGTTAAAAGAGGCTGCCAACCTCTTTTTTAATAAAAAAAAAAAGAATTAATATGTAAACCTGTTAGAATAGTATGCTGTATTTTGCATAATTTAATTTTATGTAATATTTTAAGTCTGAAAATAGCTACAATGTACGGTGTTATGTTATGATTTGTTCTTGTTGTAAGTGTATTTATAAAATTTTAGTATACCTAATACCAACGCCTTACACATTTTTTTGCAATACATTAAAATTTATTATCCTTTGCAACAAATAATGAAAACTATAGATAAAATAAAAATAAAATAACAAGGTTTAGTTTAATTTTTTACTGTAATACACATTCTTGCTTGAATGAAAACACAAATAAAAAATAACTAACATTAATTAATGGAATAAGTTATATTTAAACATGTGATGTAAGTCAGAGATAATGCATAAACTTTTAAAGCTTTAATATATTTTATAACTTACTATAATTTTACTAACAAACCTTTTACTAAGTTTATAAGATACAAGTCAAAACAATTTTAAAGTTTACTTTTTATAGATTAATCATTATAAGGTTTAGAACATAGTTATTTCCCCTATAAATAAATGTCACTTCCTACTCTGATACATTGGTCACGTTGGCATGGCAATTAAAACCCCCTTTTCCTACATTTCTTGGCTGCACTAAAACTATAAAACCATAAACTATGACTTATGTTTATTTTCATAGTGGTTTTGGCATGGAATTCTCGTTTGTATAATATGTTAAAGTCCTAGCATGAAAAGTACCATTAAGAACTTTAACGAGTTTGAGTTTTTTCTTGACGAGTAAAATGTTACAATACAAGTCTAATAACCAATCACAAGCTAACCATTTATATGAGTAACTGAAAGATGTTTAAATGTATTCAATATCTCAGATTAATACAACACAAACATAACATTCAATATAACATTAATTTGTTCTTTGTAGTGTTTGCAGAATTATTAATAAAATACAACACAAAAGTACGACAATGTCAACCAAAAACACACTGGGAGTAAAGTGATTTAAATTGTTTTGGATAGGCGATAAGACATTGTATGTATGTGTATGCGTGTGAGACAGACAACTAGTCCTGTCTGTCTCACACGCATAGGACTAGACAGGATCCCTTATCAGCTCATTATCATTTATTGTTGCAGTTGCTTGTTGCTTTTTTACGATTTCAGTCTACAACGCTCGCCCGCTCCCAAATAATGTATTTTTTGTCAACATCAGACGACCCTAGTTGTCATAAAATGTCTATATAGATTTTTTTAGCCTACTGGCGCTGTATGATTTTGACTAACGACTAAATTGAAGATCCAAATTTTGACGTATAACTTAATTACTATTTTACAAAACCTTTTAATTGAATGGTTAATATAATACTTCTGCCCCTTAAAATCGTGATTGGCATATACTTAGAGGTAAAAGAATAACATCTAATAAAACATAAACAGAGCAATGTTTTATTTTTCAAAAGTATTAGAAATCCATTGAATCTCCATTTAACCCAACACAATTGTACAAGTTACGTTCTACGTTAGGACAAGAGTTTTCATATTATTTATTGTATTTTTTGCCCCAAGCGAAGGGGCCCCCTTCAACTCGATCGCCGCGGCCGTACGTTTGTGTGAACGGCTTCATTGAAACTCAAACTGGTCCGTCACAGCCTAGCAGCTATGCTCGTGTAAACTGGGTCTAAGCGCGGGGCCCAGTGCAACCCTGAGGAAAAGTCCCTTAGAGTCAAGAATTTTGGTTCTAGTAATACCTTAAAATTCACCTAACAATAACCTTAAATATAGGATAACGACAATAAAGCTGTTAAAACAGAAGGCCATTCGGTAAGTGTCTGACTAATTTTCGAAGATATTAATAAAAACTACTGTGCAAGGGGCCCCTTTCGGGGCCCCCCTAGGCCCGGGGGCCCCGGGCGCTCGCCCCGTCCGCCCCTAGGTAAGTTCGGCCCTGTCTCGATCGATTATTTTTTTAACTTTTGAGAAAGTATGGAGTTGTAATTTTGACACATTGCATTGCATTGTCTGAATATAATGTGGTGTATATATCTGTAAACACTAGACAATTAATTATTTTACATGTTAATGCCATAATGGCTATACTTACTGTTTAAATGGGTGATGATTCATAACGGATTCCATTTTTTTTTTATCCAACTTAAATGCTATTTTACCCATCTTATTGGTTTACCTATCGTGTTTTTATTTTAATGAAATACATAAATTTATTATTTTTCTAATTTTAAACTTAACGTAAAATGGTTATGGGAACTGACGTTTTTATAGGAATATTCGTATCGTAATACCTGAGACCCTACCGTGAAATGGGAATAGAACTATACGGAAACCCTTTAAAACACAGAATACTGTACAGGCTTATGTATATAAGATTATGTCTGAATTCTGTGGTATAACAATAATAGTTACTTGTATTATAGACGAAAATGATGATTACCTGAATACAGTATTCTATCTGTCTCCAAAGTTTATGTATTCGCTTTTGCCTTGTTGGAGAGTGTAGATAAATATTTTTAAAATGTCAATTTGTTTATTTATTTGCTGTCTACAGTATTTTGCAGTTTCCATTGTTATTGTAATGATTTAGGGCTTATTGTCAGTACACAGGAACATAGAAAAACAACTAAAAAGAACCTAAAGAAAAACGTTTATTGAATTTTGGAATGAATACGATTGGCATATAATTATTATATAATCATGTTTAAAATTATGAACAAATATGTTAAATAATCATTTTTAACGATTTCAAATATTTTAATTTCATTTTTACCCTTGTATTAATTTTTTACGTTGTTCGTTTTAGCTGGTTCAAAATCTGGATACAGTAGGAACAAATTGATATGGTAAACATTGAAATCTAATTCTCATTGAAGACATCCATTCAAAAATCTATTTTAATAGGCTAAAACAATTTTCCTACCCCTCTAAAAAAATACACCAGCTGCAACTCAAAAAATTTTCGACGTCGCCCTTGTATTCCGAAAGCCAGCAGACGACATTCAAGCTTTACAGCTTTACCTGTCCGAATTGTAGGGGTGAGGGGCCGCACACTCACTTGTGACCTGCGCCGCTAGCCCCGCCTCCTGACTCTACCTCACCCCTCTTCACACACTCTAGTGCCGGTGCCAGTGTCAGTTGTCCGTCCGCCAGGTGTTCGCGCGTTCATCACCTGTCCCACTGTGAATTTGTGTTTTGGATTTTCGAACAATTGGATTCTTTACGTTTATAAGGTAAGTTCTGAGACAAAACTATAATTTAAGTCTGCTGTTCAGAATATCTCCCTATTTTTCATTTCAACAGGTGCCTCGACTCCGGTCAATACACCGGTTCTATTGTTTAGCCGTCGGCCAGACGTTCTTTGTTGTACTTTATGACCACTTTTAAACGGGCTGCATTATTCATAAGCGGTGTACATAATTTATAGTGCGTTGAAAGTAAGATTTAATTTGTGAGGTTTACACAAAAAGGTTGCCTGAAGTTTTCGGCGTTAAAGTCTTTGAAAGTTGGAGTTGTTTCGTGGTCGGAAATTCATTGTTTGTCTGAAAATCACTATTTTCTTACGTTAAAATTGATACAGTAACTCTAAATTGGATAACAGTTAAATATTTGCATTTTAATCTTGTCTAATGGATGTATTTACGAGTGTGGATACTGCTTGATGTATTTATTAATATTACTGTCGTGTATTAGTTATAGCCTTCGCCATGCTATGGGATTTGTGTAATTCAACGAATTAAATTTTCAGTCTGTCAATTATATCTTTTCTTTCTTTTGCATGGCTACTTGTGAAAATTCTACTTTGTAATGTAGGCCTACCTACTTTCCTATATTCTCTCATGTTTTAAAGTTTTTTAATTCTTAGATAAAAACGTAAACAAATAAGTAGTTGTATTACAAACCGATACTTAACCTAATCAAAAAGGAAATAAAGTTATCTGAAAGTGTTAGGTATAAAAATGTCCTACACGAAAAAGTCCACTATAAAAAACCTTACGGATTTCCTTATAACATATTCACTCATTTAAATATTCGTAAGAATTTAAAACAAATCAAGCTTTCCATCATAAAGTTCGTAGGTAGCACTTTATGCTAAGAATTGTAAAAGTAAGACTAAAACATGCATTGCTAGATTTCTTGAATTGAATATAGGCCTACTGTTATCGAAAACATTATTATGTTTTCTTGTGTAAAAGACCATTCACCGCCTAAAATTATAAAATTGAAAACAGAGGTTTCAACATTTAGCTAAATAATTACATGATGGTTAAATAATTTGTTTCCTACGTTTTCGCAATTTTCTGAAAGATTCATTAGTATAGAATTTACATACAGCTTTGAAGCAAACAATTAGTGTCCCAGTTAAAGGGGTAATCAAGAAGCCAGCCAGAACTAAAATGCTGACAAGTTTCTTTCGTATCCATTCTAGGATTACTTAAAGTGCGATTGTTAGTAGTTACCAACAGTAACTCTTCAAGTAGCTAATTAACTTAACTACCTACAGTAACTCTACAAGTAACTAATGAGTAACTAAACACCGCCTAAACCACTTGAGTATGCAATGGTGACACTCAGCTCGCGAAAGTTGTTCTAAATCCTTTGTAGGCTTCGGTGATAGACAGCCGACAGTGTACTTCGCTTTGCAAATTTTGCAAATTTGAACCTTTTTGTTCTGTGTGGAAAGTGTGAATAAGGTGATTATTATTTGGGTCTCGTCATTTTAATGCAAAATACGCAACTTATTTCCATTTTGAACAATTTTGCAGCGTTTAAGTATTCTGTTTGTCTGTATAAATTATAAACATCGTAATTTTTTTAAGTGGTGCACTTTATGTGGCTCATAAAACTATGTTATTTTATATTACAAATTTGCTACTTCTGGCCCACGTCTACTTCAGTATCCATGTGATTTAAGAATTAAAATCAGAATTATTACACAAAGTTAACAAAAATACTGTTAATATTCGTAATTTTTGTATAAAAGGTGAGGTTATTCACTTATTAACAACAATGAATGAACACTATTCTGATTGGTCGGCGTGCTATGTGGGTTCTAATATCAGCTGATTCACACACCAGAGATCAGCTGTTTCTGCGAACAGACCGTCAGCGCTTCGTCAGTTGTTTTCTACATTTTCCCACACTAAAGTAAATCCCCTGGTGTTTATTGCACTAGCTTTTTCTACTACTTTATTTTTAATTAACCTCAACTAGTTTTCAAGTAATTTCGAATAAAGGCTTTATCACACAGTGCAATAAAAAGGGATCACTAAATTGATTAAATCAACAGTAAAATATATATTTTAAATAAACGTAAAAAAGTGTAAGCTAAGTTTAATTTTAATCGAGATCTTTCCAATAATTAATTTTGCAAATATTCATATCGAAATGATTGATAGTGTTGAATCTGTTCAATAATATTTGTTGTAGCTTTTTAGTTATAAATTCTATTCCTATCATGTACAAGTCTTGAATTATCACTCATGAACCAAGGCACAACCAAGTTTGTTCACGTGAAGGCTTGAGAATGGCCAGCTGTTGGTTAGAAATTAATGAAAGGGGAGTTTAATAGACAAGAGCTGTTAATAACAAGGGGGAATTTGAGATGGTTTGAGTGTATAGGACTAATTTCTTCGCCTCTGTAATGTTTGGCATTTTTGTATTCGTTTTAAAAACAATGTTTTGAAGCAGCGTCCTTAAAAACGGAAAAATATACAACACTCATTTATTACATTCAAACAATTTGATCACTACTATTTGAACTTATTCATACTGTGCCATATTTGATGTGATTGATGTGATTTCGCATAATTTGGTATCTATCATGACCCTATTTACAATTCAAAGCCTCTAGATTTTCTATACTTTCCATTTGACAGTTTTACCAAACTTAAACTCACCGGCACTAAACAGTTAGAATTTTCAACTCGAGCAAACAGATATTCCCGCAAATAATTCCCAGCTGTTTAGCTATTCTTTTCCGCAGTGTGGGTTTTCCGCTCGGGCGGTGTAACGGTTCGATGGGAAGAGCGCAGGGCGTCGGTTTGTGCGGGTAACTGGACGTAAATGGAGGGAAGAGGACCAATGTAAAGTGTTTCACACAAGTCCGAGAACCGTTACTTGGCAATTACAATGTTTGTTATCCAACCGTTCTAATGCGAGGTTTTAATTGAAGGTGTGCAATTCTAATTATTTTCCTTCTAGCCAAAACTTAGACATTTTGCATCCTAAATTCGCTGTAAAAGGTTTATTTTTCATTCGAGTCCAGAAAAAAACTGGCAGAGTTCAATTTGTGTATTGTAGTGGAGTTAATACGTTATATGAGTTTTCATTCTTATTTATTACTTATAAAAAATGTTGAAAATATATACCTACAATCATTTAGAGTTTTCACAGATTCCTAAGAATGATTGTCAAACATAGAAAAAACTACGTGTGCAAAATTTAACATTGAAGAGCCCATTATTTACTCTATTTATATTCAAAAAGTCACTCATATTTATGGGATCTCTTAAGTGACCATTTTTATCTAAACACCGGTTGAAAAGTGCATCTACGCTTCAATAACCCTCGAAATGGGGGAACAAACTTACCAATAAAAAGTTTTTACTTCACACTTTTAGTTTGATAAGTTGTTGCACCTATTCCAAAGTGTGTTAACAGTGTAGGGAGTGAATGGTTTTTTTTTTGCTTCCCAAGCAGACACGTCGATTGCTCAACACTCAGGGGTTTATGTTGACAAACACAGTTACATTCCAACGCCGAGCCGCGTTGTGCAAACAGACAAACAGACAAACAGACAGACAGACAGACAGACACAATAGTCCAATCGCTCTACAAGTCTCTAGGAAGACAGTTCGTTTTGTGAAAAAACTATAGCCGAATAGCTCTGCATGGCTTTCTAGACAATAACTGCACCCTATGTTTTAATACATTTTTTTCATATTTCTAAATTTGTCAGGTTGTCTAAAAATAAACTGTATCAGCAATCTGACTCATACTTTCTCCCATTAGCTTGTCAACAACCCTTATAGAGGTGATGGGAGTAACTATGATATTGTATGGGTAGAATCTCAGAAATTGCAATAGCTTTTGAACCGTAATTCTTATAACACTGGTGTAATACAATCTTTTTTAGAGTTTAGTGGACCATAACCTACAAAATTTTAATCCAAATCGTTCGAGCTATCTTTGTGAAAATTTCCATTACAAACCAAATTTTAAAAAAATAAAAAAAATATTCGGGTATACTCTGGATTAGTAGACACATACCAAATGTAATCAAAATCGGCCCATTAGTTTAGTCTGTAGCTCTACAATAACGGGTATTTCAATCCAAACAATACTTTATCCTTATATGTGTAGGGTAGAAAGGAAAGTAAAACTAACATGACTATATTGTCATTGCCGTCATAATCTCGAATATATGATTCAGAGGAATAACACGCTAGGAAAGTTTCTGATATCTCCAAAGTAGAGTGGGTGATCTGGTTTTGGTCTACCCACAAACTAGTGTGTTGAAATTTGACGTGGTTTCACATGACATTTTCATATCTACCTCTAAACTAACACTATTCTTTTATATTAGGTATACAAAATCTTAAATGCTATTCATTTTTTTATATATTTGTCTAAGTAAATATCCTCTACGGAAGATGTTATGTATTCTTTGTGTTATGATCCAGGAATTCGATTACTTTGGTTTTTTGATTTTTATGCGTGTACCGTACTGTTAATGATTTAGCAAACCTGTTTGATAAAAACAAAAATAATAGCACTAATTGAGTCAATATTGCATTGGATACGTGAAATATGTGATACTTTTTCTGTCAATTCACTTTGTTTTTTATCGTATTGAAATGTTATCATTATCTAACAAATCGTTTAGGGATAGTTTACATTAAATTAGGCTGGGTTAGGTTAGGTTAGACCCGAGGTATATCATAAACCTTAGATTTTGTATAGTATATATTTATATTGATGTCAGCTGATAAGAATTTATTTTTCATGTTATTACATACTGTATTTGAAAAAAAGTCAAGAAAGCAATTGGAATTTCGCTAAATTTCTGGTTAATTTATTTCAATTTTTTAACTGCCTTAGTGAAACTCATTGATGTACAGTAACTGGTTTAAAAACAGTTAGGCTACATGTTCACTGTTAGTTGCCATGCAGCTGTGACGGATAAGACAAACTTTGCAGTAGATGTATTGCTGACAGCGTGGAAAACCGA